GCAGTCTGATGGGCCGTCCTGCCGGGCCGACGCCCCCTGGCGGCAGCAGCCCCTTTGTCTCCACCTTTGTCACCGGCCGGGCCGAGTCGACGTCCACACTGGAGCGCTTCATCTTCAATTTGGTGATCATCGCCGCGCTGATGCTACTGATGGGGCTCTTTCTCGGTGGCCGCTATTTATGGTATCGAGTCGTTGATTGGATCTAGGTTTCTGTGGCTGTTTTTACGGAGATGACATTTGACTGGTTATTTTCTTTTTTCTCTTTTGTGACCCTGACTTTGTTTTTCCGCCTGTCACCTAAAAGTGTGAAATATCGACTTGCGATGTGAGGAGCAGCAGTCTGCTGATCTAAATTGTGACGATTTGCCTTTCCTTTCCTTTTTTCTCTTCACTAAATTATCACTGTCAACTTTAGCACTAGTAAAGAGAGTTGTTTCCAGTTTTCAGTGTTGGTGCACGTTCATTAGTGCACACTACTCCACTTGGGTGATAGTTTTTTCCCTCTTCTTGGATGCTTCCCAAGAATGACTAACGGTTCAGTTCTCACTTTTTTCAACCTGCTGCCCCACTGCTAAAGAGATGCCAATGTGTACGTGCCAATTTGTCAGCCACGATTCTGTCTCTCTGTCTCTCTTTATCTTCATCTCTAACATTTGCATTCACACAGTTCCCTCTCAAGCGACAGAGAAGAAGAGCGGAAAGTCACCAACAACATTGGTTTGTGCACCAATTTTTCCGCACTACAGCACACAAAGAGTCAAACGAGCTCGCTTCCAACACTTCAGTCTCGCAAATCCTCCTTCCTCCTCATCATTAGGTGTAGATCATTTTAAAGTTTTTTTGTGTATTCTCTTTTTTGCTAACAATGCTTTCCATCACCACTACCACCACCACAATTACTTCTCTAATGAAAACATTGCTCCCTTTGCTAATTGCCCAATTTCTCGACTGTGCTCGCGCAGACATTCTGCGTATAAGTCAACCCGCCTCATTACCAGTATCAACAACGGTACTACCATCCCCAACATTTTCTAATCTCATCATCAGATCTAAAGTTTGTTTTTTACTTTAGCCTGAAGGCACAGGCAAGCTGAACGTTCGGGATTGCGTCCTCCTCTACAAACCTGCTCGTGAGAACTGCTCCATCTCGGCGCTGGAGGACTTTCCAGAGCTGGCGGAGGACATTACCAGTCAGTACTGCGAGTACCTCAACAGTATGCAACGCTGTACGGTTCAGGCGGTCTGTACTGCCTGCAGCAACGTCTCCGCTTTGCATGTCTACCCCAAACTGTACCATATGCTGAAGGTGGACATGCGACGGGCGGACTGTGCCGGTCACTTCTTTTCCGACTATTCCGCCCTTTACGGCAATGTGAGTCGCTTTGTGAGCAACTTTGTCTGCAGTGGCAACAATTCTGCGGTGATATTACTGCCTCAATTTAACTTGATTCACCTAATTATTTTGCTTTTTTTAAATTTGTTGTTGATACTTTAAATGTAAAAAATAAAAATCATTTTCATCATCAGACAGTTACGCTCTTATGGTCCATATCAGCAAAAAGCCTCAAAATGAACTGCTAGTATCGAAGTTGTATTTTAGCAATTTGAAAGTGTGAATCTAGTACGTCTGTTCCAGGCAAATGCATTTATACAGTTGAGTGTGTGTGTGGATGAGAGGCTCGCACCAAACTAGAAAATAACAATTGATAATCTGCCGCTTTTCTCTCCTTTTCACTGATTGCGATACACTGTCTGCTGTTGTTGCTATACACTGTACGGCTGCAGTCGCATGCGCCTCTCATCAGCAGCAAAAAGTTTGCATCTCAAGGACGGGCGCTTATTTATATGTGTGTGGCGCCAAAGCCAAAACACAAGAAGAAGAAACTGTTTGCAAGCAAGCAAGCAAGTGAGCAGCTGTGACAGCCACGGTTTATTGTGGAAGCAGGCAGCTACCAACTACCAGTAAAGCTGAAGTAAAATTCAATACTGAAGACTAGGAAGAAAAAGAAAAACAACAAACCAAAAATAAAAAATGTTTTCCCTTAGTACACTGATGATCATTTCGGCGCTAGTCGCCATCACCTATGCATGGCTGAACAGGTAAGTGTTGTACCAAACAAAAACCATTATTGACATAATTAAACTATAACTAATACTTTGTGTTAAATGACAGCTTCTTCACTCGCAAGTTCAGCTACTGGTCGTCGATGGGCATCGGTGGCCCACGGCCTCGCTGGTTCATCGGCAACATTGCCGAGCAGACTAATCAGGTCTTCTTTCATTTTTGTCAGAAGATGAGAAAGGAGTACGGGGAAGTCTACGGGACGTACATGGGCTGGAAGCCGACGTTGGTCGTAGCGGATCCGGTGCTGGCGAAGCACGTCCTTGTAAAAGATTTTCATCTGTTTATTGATCGAATCAACCCGAAAGCTTATCACGAATTGTGGAATAAGAACTTGTTTACTGCCAACGGTGATGACTGGAAACGATGTCGGGTGGTCACAAGGTAAGAGATCATTTCAAATAGTATTGATCAAGCAGCAGAAATACTAAAAAACTTTTTCCTTTTCAGCCCCACCTTCTCAAGCGGCAAACTGCGAGAGATGAATGTGATCATGCAAAAATGCATCAAGAATCTGGACGATTACTTTGACCGGATCATTGAGCAGCAACCGGAAAAAAGTTCAGTCGTTTTTCAGGCAAAGACCACTTTTGCCGGCTTTACCATTGACGTGAGTAGACTAATCAAACTTTTTGCTTCAGCTGAAACATAATTTTTTGTTTAGGTGATAGCTTCTACAGCTTTTGCCACGACCACCAACGCCAATATGGAGGCGGACAGTCCGTTTGTAACCAACGGGCGGAAACTGTTTGAAATTAAAGCCCTCCGAGCGATGGCCGGCTTTCTAGCGCCCACCTGGTTGCTGAAACTGGTCGGCATTGAGACCATTTTTCCCAAGGAAAACTTTGACTTTTTTGTCGCTCTCTCACGGCGAATGCTTGACCAACGACTTGAGGAGATCAAACAGGGCAAACCTCGCCGAAGTGACCTTCTGCAAATGCTGATTGACGCGGCTGTGGATGAAAGTGAGCTAACCGCTGACAATTACAACAAAATGACCGTCACTGAAGAGGGCAACAACAGTGGTATAATTTTGGGTAAAAACTTTGGTATTAATTTTGAAGGATTTGTATACAAAAGTATGGTTTTTACAGACCAAAATCAAAATCTGACAAAAGAAGCGTCCACAAAAGGTGAAGGAGGCAGTGGAAAATTGAGTGAAAAGCGAAAGCTGAGCACTAGTGAAATCATCGCTAATTGCATTCTCTTTTTTGCTGCCGGCTACGAGACGACAAGTGCAGGTAAACAATACCTTTGTTTTAAGTATTTTTAATAGCTCTGACGTTTTTCCAGCACTTTCTCACTGCATCTACGAGCTGGCCAAAAACCAATCAGTCCAAGAACGACTGAGCGACGATTTGACCTCAGCTTTAGAGCAATTTTCCGACAACGAAAGTGAAGAGTACCTGGCGGTGGTCAACAATGGCATTCCCTATTTGGAAGCAGTAGTCAAAGAAACTCTTCGTCGGTACACTCCTGTTGCACTATTGGGGCGCGTGTGCAACGCCGAACAGGGCTACACCTTTCCTGGAACGGAGATTCACCTGAGAAAAGGGGACGTTGTCACCCTGCCTGTGGTGGCCATTCACATGAATGAAAAGTACTACCCGGAACCGAATCGTTTTAACCCGGAGAGGTTTATGCCGGAGAATAAGGCTAATCTGGTGCCGTACACCTACCTTCCCTTTTCTGATGGTCCAAGAAATTGTAAGCTGTTTAAAATTAATTTGGATTTAAGCTAAAATTTTTACTTTTTGTAGGCATTGCCATGCGATTTGCCTATCAGGAGATAAAGCTCTGTTTGGCCCATTTGCTTACCCGATATCGTTTCACCACTACACCGGAAACGCCAGAAGAACTAACCTTTAAACCAGCAAGTGCACTTCTCATTGCAGAGGAGTTTCCCATTCAAGTAAGCAGGCGGTGAAAGATTGGGCAATCATTAATTTCAGTCAATACTCTCTCAACAAACAATTTGCAACATAAACCTAAATTTTATTTGAAATCACGCTTTTCTTCATCTAAACATGCATTTTTGTTTGTTAAAAAGATTAAAAATGGTTTTACTTTTTGAGCCAGACACATTGAAGCTTTGAGTAGGCAGCTTTGTCTTGATCTATAAACCGAGCAGCTTTTTCAGCGCCTGTGGGTGGTCAATGTAGTAGTCGATTCGCTTCTCGATGCGCTTCTTCTCAAAGGCCGGCAGCAACGGAATCTTTTTCATCTCCTTGTGCACTTCCTTCTTCAGCTCCACCTTCACCTTGCCGGTGGTGTCGTGGAGAAGCTTCTCAAAGTTGGGTTTGAGGACTTTATTGATTATATTGGTGAAGGAGTCCGCATGCACCTCAGTGACGGCCAACAGGGCAACGAGGGTGAGGAAAACTAGTACTAAAGAGTAAAAAAATGGTTTGAGTTTTTAAATGCTTAAAAGTTTTAATGTTTTTAGTTTACCTTTTTTCATTTTTCAGTTTTTTGCTAGTTCAGATCTAAAGCTCTTTGTACTTTCTAAATCTGCGCAAAAGTTGAGTTTAAATAGGAAAAAATGTGAGCAAAATTCAACAGAAAAGTTGCTTGCACAGACTACCAAACGGAGTGACCTCCACTAATTAATTTTGATGCGTTGGTTTTTGTTAATCAAAATCTTTTGAAATCATAGAAAGTTAGTCAATAGTCAGGTTGAAAAATCATCATCATCATCAATTTTAATTGCAAAAACATAAATGGATCTATTTTTTATTTTAATAAAAAAGGTTATAATTAACATGATTTCTAAACACTTCCTACTGACAGCCCATATGCAATAGGATGTTCTTGATGTCCGTCGGGTGTTCGACAATGAGGTCGAGCGTGCGCTCCACCGTCTTCAACTCCCCTTCACTCAGCTTCAGTTTCTTGTTCATCGACATCAGCTCCTGGTGAATCTGCTTCTTCAGCAGGCCTTGTGCCGACTTGGTCGCAAAGGCGGTGGTGTTCTCCAACACCGGCTTGAGAAACTTTTTCAGCAGAACGTTGAGCATCAGATTGAAGCTGCTGCTGTTCTTCTTCTTCTTCTTGTTCTTCGGCTTGCGAGTGGGCCTTCCTGAAATAGTGGGTTTTTTGGTTTGTCCTCCGGGGGCGTGAGGAGGAGGTGTCGGCCGAGGTTGTTTTGGGGGTGGGGGGAGTGTCGGGAGAGGGGCCTTGCCGGTGGCCACTGCTGGCGGTGCCACTGAAGAGGGCGGGTTATGGGGAGCTGGGGGAGGTGGTGTGGGTATTCCATTTATAGGACCAGGAGCAGGATATGTTGGCGGTGGTGGTGGAACGGAAGGCACATTTCCATTCTGCGAAGAAGGTGGTGTGGAAATTCTATTGGGTGTTTGATCTAATGGAGTAGGCGGCGGAAGGTTGCTTGGAGGAGTGGGGCGACTGTTGCCGGCCACTAGCGACACGACTGTCGTCAGAAGGAGGAAGATGTCTAAAAGGAAATGAAAAGAAAGATAAGTTAGGTGAAAGGTGTTAATTTCTTGTTTAGAGAATTTCAGTTCATTTCTTACGTTTACTCATTCTTCTGTCTTTTTCTTCCTTTGATTAAAAACAAGTTCGTTTTTAATTGATTGTGTAGTTTATCAAAGCGCCTTTTTATATTGTTTGACCTGTATTTTTCGCTTGTTTGTAGACCAAATTCCTATACTGTTTTAGGTTTTATGTTTAATTGGTAGTAGAGTGTTAATTAGATCAAGGTCGACAGCAGTGTTTTTTATCGTCAAGAAAAATTTAGTTGTTCAACAATATTATTTGGCAAGGGGTAATTTGGGATGTTGAGAAATTGACTTGTGATGTTACCTGATGAAATTCATGTCCCCAATGTCAGAGAATGAAATGTACAAACGGAAAAAATATTAAATTTTTTCACTAGTTCTTTCTCCAAAGGTCTTATCTGAGTTATTTTTTATTTTCTAAATTTTAATTTTTAATCAATTACAACTTGAAATCAAGATGTAAACAAAAATAATAAACACAACAACTGTAATAAAGTTTAATGCATTTTTAGACTACTGTGTAGTGGTTAGTGCTGGCTAGAGGCACAATATTTGAGTAATTGGTTATGGGCATTTGACTCCTTATCATTTTAAGAGGACTCAAAAGCAGATAGAACAAACAGTGAAAGAGAGATTGAAACACTGAAGTTGTGAAGACAGCTAACAAGTGACTTATGACTTGAGCATAAAGCCAGTGTCGCTGACCACCAGCGAACCGACGAGGTTCTTGCCGTCGTCGCTGACGATGAAGGCAGCCAGATTGGCAATGTCCTCCACGGCGCCAATCTTGCCTATCAGCGAGTTCTTGAGGAAGACATTCTTCTGCCACTCCTTGAACGTCTCCGGGTCCATGTTCATCGACTGGCCAAAGTTGCTTGCCACCGGGCCGGGACTGTAAAGGAGAAAAAGTAGTTGTTAAAATGCACAATCAAAACAAAAAAAACAAAAGAGTTTACTTGATAGAGTTGACGCGAATGCCGCGCGGTCCAAGCTCAAGAGCGCTGGTGAATTACAAAATAAAATTAAAGTAAGAGAGATTTAAGCCTTTAGCTTTCACAAAGTCTTTACCAAGTTTTGGTCACCTGCAAACCAAACAAAAATTGAATTCATTTATTAAAGACTTTTATAAATAAAATCGTCATTTTTTGTTGTTACTTACCATATCAACGGCCGCCTTGCTGGTGTTGTAGGCGAGCAGTCCGGGAGACTAAGTTTTTAAATATTTGTAATTACTTTTTGCTAAAAAAGTTTGCAGACTCCAAAAAGCTCTTACCGCCTTCATGCCGGCAATGGAGGAGATGTTGAGCACATTTCCGCCCACCTTGCTCTTCTCCAGATAGGGAATGGCCAAGACGGTCATCTCCACCACCGTGCGCACATTCAGATTCATCACATTGTCGTACTCCGCCAGCAGGTTCGGGTTGTCAATGGCGCCGTTGGGCGAGGCCCCGCCGGCGCAGTTCACCAGAATGTCAAAGCCGCCGAACTTGTCGACGGTCGCCTTGATCAGCTGGGCTGGGAAACCCTCGTCGGTGAGGCTGCCGATGACCTGCAGTGGGGCAGAGCCACCAGCGGCCTCGATGCGCTTCGCCACCTTGCCCAGGTTCCCGGCATTTCGACCGGTGATGACCACCTGGGCGCCGTTGACGGCAAAGGTGTAGGCGATCTCAGCCCCAATGCCTGAGCTGGAGCCGGTGACAATCGCAACGCGGTTGCTCAGGTCGTACTTTCGGGTGCAAGACATGGTTTTAGGAGATTTGTTGTTGAGGGGGAATGCTTTCTTTGAAGGTGGGCAATTGGAGTGCTGTAGACGTCTGCGTCTCGGTCGACAGTTGCTGGCTGAATGGAAAAGAAGAAATAATGTAAATTAGTTTCTGTTATCTGCTAGTCTGAAGTGGTAATCGTTTCAAGTTTCTTTTTATTTTAAATTAAATTATTGCTCGTTCTTTTATCGTCAAACTTTTAAGTGCAGTTGAGCGGTGGTGGTGGCTGTTTCCAAGGGTGACAATCGTGTGCAATGTATCTGGCAGGCAAACTAGCAGACTGGTTGGTTGCTAGCAACAAACGAAGGAGAAGAAGAAGTAGAAGGGGAGATTGTACATCAAAGGTACATTAAAATGCGACGAAGACGACAAGTACTGCGGTGATCATCGATTATGTCTGTTCCTTCTGTCTCTCCTGTTTCATCAGAATCAACCGCCACCACCAAACTTACAGTACCACTGGCTTGTGCTGAATCATCAAATGAAATTGGCAAACGGAACAGAACAGGACAGGATCGGTGATGTTTGAAGGTCAGCACTTGCTGTCAAAATGTCGCTGTTGCCACTGTGACACTGCACTTAATGGCGATTTTGTTTGCTGCTGCATTGGACTGCCTCTACTGCTTTCCACTGATTTTTGCATAAAAATACTCAAATTTCATCTGCAAATTCTACTACTACGGTTAATCGGTGCATACCGTGCACGCGGGCAGTCAGATCATCATCAGTGAAACTAGTGAGCAGACTTACCTTTAACGGTGTAAGAAGATGAGAAGGAGCGGAAGAGAACACAGCAAGAACAGATTGAGTACAAAGCAGAACAGAGTTTGGCAACGTTTTGTTTCCTTTTTCTTTCAGTACTTTTGCAACCGAACGGGGTTTTTATATTTTCTGGGTAGCAACAGAGGGAAAGTGAAAGTGGCGGCAGACAGAAACAAACTGATAGAAGAAGCCTGCTTTTTCAACTGCCTAAAGAACTGGTTTCTGGCCGGCAAGCTAGCTAGCTGGCTGTTTGCTGGTGGCTGATAGCTTACTTTTACCACTGTGTTCACTGTCGATTGTTGAAGAGATAGTGCGCTCAATGTTGCCAACACTTTTGCGCCTGCTGCTGCTGCTTCTTCAGTTCGGTTCAGTTCAGAGTTCTGTGTGTGTGTTTATGTGTTTACTGTCAAGGTTGTCACCAGTACGCAGACTCTGCATTGTGGTGGTGAGCACGAAATGTACGACAATCTGTGCAGTGGCTGCTGCTGCTTCAGCTGGCGAGTCTCCTCTTGCCAACACCCGGCAACAGCAGCAGCAACAGCAGCTTTTAGCGAAAATAACACTTTGTAGTATAAAGTAAAAGTAAAGGAAATAAAATGCACACAGTGCAGAGAAGAATCTGATGAACGAAAAGTGCGCCCCTTTTTCATTGTCATCAAGCTCATTTATGTTTAGGTGCTCATTAGAGGTTTCTTTATTTTTATTGCTATGTACATTGTTTCATGTTTCTCTTTTCATTGTTTCCCTATTATTTTTAGCCGTTATCCCACCTGTTTTTTGAGCAGACAATTACCACACGCAAAAGCACCCCGTTATTTTGCTTTTCTCTTTGCGCTGGACTTTAAAGGCATGCCATTTTTGGCAAACTTCACCTTCTTGTACGATCTCAGGTAGAAGCTGGTGAAAAGGTAAAGATAGAGGGGCGTCTGCAAAAGGACGTCCCACGTAAAGAAGGGGTGATATCCCTGGTTGAAAAAGGCAAAGTAGAGGCCGTAGGTGAGAAGGAGGACAAACTGAACTATCTGCAGCTGCGTCAAGTATCGTTTCCACCACAAAAATGGCGTCATTTGCGGGCCAAAAGCGGCTAGGCCGTAGTAGGCGTACCTAAAGAGAACATTAATAAGATTTCAATGACAAAAAATTGACAAAACTTACATGACAGTATGAATGGGCGTGTTGAGCATTCCAAAGGCTCGAGCAGTGACGTGCTCCACCTTGATCCGGAAGTAGATCCAAGCCATCAGCGGGACCATACTGTGGTGGTACACGTGAAGACCTTTGCAAGGAAGAAGAAAGTTGTTTAAAAAAGGTTTTTTCTGCTTTTCATTGATAATTTGTTGCCAAACCGTCGAACACAAACTCACCGGTCACTTGGTCCGCCTTCTTCCGCAGAATGAAGAAGAGCGTATCGAGCATGTCGACGTACTTGCTGATGCAGTACAGATAAGTCAGACGGATGTTCTCCTCCGCCACCTCAGGCGGGTCCTGGTAGGAAACGTGCACGCTGATAAGGTCTTTTCCGAATCGACTGCCCACCAGCATTCGGTAGAAGCAGTAGGCATTGAAGAGCGACATGACTAGGTTGTAGGGAATGATGACCCATTTGAGGCTGAAGGGTGGCCGATTTCGCATCAGGCGCGGGCCGAGGTAGAGGACGAGGAAGTAGTAGGTGAAATAGATGAGCAGTGGCAGTTTAAAGGTGCCCATCAACGGAAACTGGGCCGCCCGAGGGTCGCCATGGTCGAGCCAGAAGTCAGTTAGGTAGTAGTCTAAGGTGTTCAACAGCGAAAAAGAGGTGGTGGTAGTGGTGGTCATTTTTACTTGAGTAAAGTTTTAGAATTACAAGTAAGAACGGTTTAAATGTTGCATAGTTTAGTTCAAGTCAGCGATGGGCCACTTTTTTATGCGTCAAGATTTATCAAGCATCAACAAATGATTTTTTCTTTGTGTGTTTGTCTGGTTTGAAATGAAATCTGCTAGATTATTTGTCCTCTTGCAAAAATAGACTAGGGAGTTTTTTACCTTTAAAACTAGTGATACTTGTAATCTTTTCGCATTTTTCTTTTTTGAAATTTTGCAATGACGTACAGAGCTATCATATTGTTCAACATAAGTTAAAGTTCACCAAAAGTGTGTTCAAAAAAGAAAGAAAGCAGTGTTTCTGCGCTCTCTCGGGGGTGTCCCAAAGTTAACCGGTGTTGATAGTGGTAGTGGTGGTCAAGATAATTGCAATCAGGTTTTGTACAATTGAAAACTCAACTAAACTATTTTTTCAATGTCAAGTATTTTACTAAACTAGGATTGGTAAATTTTACTATTTTTCAAATAATGTTATAGTTTTCTTAGAACTTTAAGAAAGTTTATTGACTGGATCACTTTTGTGATGTCACGTTAATGAGATAACAACTACCTAACTTGTGAATAAAATTACCCTTGTGTGCAATTTTCCTATCGGTTGTATTGAATTAATTTTACAAAAAAATGTACTTGGATTAAACTAAAAAGTTTCCCGAGTTTTCTTTAAACTAATGCTAATAATTAGATTACTGATGGTATCTTTTTAACTATTTAACTAATAAAACTCTATGAAACGACTTTTTTTGTTGACATGATCAATAGATAACTTTAATAGTACAATGGCGGAGACCACTTTTTACCTAAAAAAATTTAAAAGGAATTTTATAAAAATCAATAACTAGAGTGAGCAATTAATTAT